GATCGAGACCATCCTGGCGAACACAGTGAAACCCCGTCTCTACTAAAAAAATACAAAAAACTAGCCGGGCGAGGTGGCGGCGCCTGTAGTCCCAGCTACTCGGGAGGCTGAGGCAGGAGAATGGCGGGAACCCGGGAGGCGGAGCTTGCAGTGAGCCGAGATCGCGCCACTGCACTCCAGCCTGGGCGACAGAGCGAGACTCCGTCTCAAAAAAACAAACAAACAAACAAACAAAAAGACTCCCATTCCAGAGAGTGCCCTGCCCCATACCCAGAAGGAAGGAACACTGCTCAGAGAGTCCAAGAAGAAGCTAGAGAGCCAGGCCTTGCTGGGTTCCCCCGCTCAGGCTATTAGCATTAGATCAAACCGTTTTTGTCCAATCGTATTTTTACACAGCTGTCCATACTTTGTTGAACCTAAGCATAAAACTGGAAACTCTCCCCTGTATTTCTGAGTTTTCATTCTGTACACTCCCATGTATAAACACATGCTAAATAAATCTGTCTGCCTTTTCCCCAGTTACTCTGCCTTTTGCAAGTTGATTTTTCAGCAAATCTTCAGAGGGCCAAACCCTTGGCCCCTGCACCTCCAGCCATCTCATGGCCATTCCCAGGATTCAGATTTTAGTGGTAGCCTCAGCTTCCCTTACTTGAAATCTGCACCTCTTTAGCTGATCCTGAGTGAAACCATTCTTTCATAAACACAATAGGATGAGGCAGATGCTCTCTATCTCAGGCATTTAGCAAAGTCTTGCGTTAATTACAAGCGAGGCGGGCTAAGGAGACAAAGGCAAGCCTTGGGTCACTTAGCAGTCCAGTAAGCATGGCTTGCTGCCCACCTGAGTTTCTCCTCCTGTAACAAAGGCGATGACATTGACTACCACGTAACTACTTTGGAAAGCACCTTGAGATAACATTGCTTTTCATTGTCCTGAATTATGCAAAGATATGTCAGTAGCAACATTACTTAGATTCTAATTATTCTGGAGGGAAAAGGCTTCGATTTCAGTCTACCTCCTTCAGTATCTTTCACCTTTGGATATTACCCATGCATTTGTCCTCATCTTCCTTTGCTGTTCCCTTTGGAATTGCCAAGGTCATGGCTGGTCATGTACAGCAGAGTTTTTTTCTTTTCCTTTTTGAGACAGAGTCCCACTCTCTTGCCCAGGGTGGAGTCAATGGCGCAATCTCAGCTCACTGCAACCTCTGCCTCCCAGGTTCAAGTAATTCTCCTGTCTCAGCCTCCCAAGTTGCTGGGACTACAGGTACATGCCACCACGCCCGGCTAATTTTTTTGTATTTATGGTAGAGACGGGGTTTCACCATATTGGTCAGGCTGGTCTCAAACTCCTGACCTCAGGTGGTCCACCCGTGTCGGCCTCTCAAAGTGCTAGGATTACAGCTGTGAGCCACTGTGCCCAGCCTACAGCAGAATCTTGTTCAATATATTATGTAACATTTTCTGAACGTTAGGACAATAGTTTCTAATTAATAATATGCAGTTTTGTTCTCAAATAAGATGCTAAGTCAATGGGAACCATTCCATTTCAATTATGAGCAATTTGTATTTAGCATACGGTTTAGCAATCTAGTCTTTGTTTTGTTTTTGCTTTTTGAGCAACTGCTTTGTCTTTCAGTAGTGGCCACTTTATCCTGATTTAGAACTCGATTCTGTGAGCATTCATCTTACATATACCTTCTTGTGTTTGTATAATTCCTTTTTAAGAAATAGCTATGCAAATATTTCTAATTCGAAGTTTTAAAAATTAACCTTTACCACTCTGCTCCCATAGCGATGTCCTATTTGGGAGGCCAGTGTTTTGTTGCAAATACTTAAGAAATATTGTTTAAAAACTATTTATTCCTAGAACGTATGATAGTGATGTATATGAACATATTTCCAAAAGGAAGCAAAATAAACACATCAATCACTGAATTTCACATCTGCATATGTTGCAGCTAGTGCTTCTGAATAAATTCTCAATCATGTATTTTCTCCTTTGTTTTGATTTAAGACTTGATTTCTGCAATTTGAATTGCTTCATAAGCCTTTCTATTTTTCAGATACCTATACTCTGTAACTCTATTTTCCTAGCCTTATATCACAAATTCACTTTAAATTTTGGTTAACGTTTCAGTGTCAGAACTTACTTTCTGGTGCCAGGAAAGGTGTAACTTGAAGTCCCTTTCTGGTCGTCAGACCCCTCCCACCTCATTTGTTGTGAACGGAACACTTTCTTTAGAATGCTTTCCTTAAAAAACTTGGAGATAATCTTCTCTCTTTGAACATTACTGAACACCTTGCCTTCTGGAAGCCAGCTGATCTTGTCACACCCACCATGGCAGGGGGGAAGAAGAAGGTATTCAGGAGACACAGAAACCCTCTTAGGAACAGAAAAAGGAATGGCATTTACCTGAAAGTCATGAATAAAAGATCAGCCTAACTAGAAAAACAACCCAGAGTCATGCAGCTGCTGCGCTGCGGGATCAATTTAGTTAATAACACGCTGCTAGCACCTCTGTGGGCTGCTGGCCCGGCATAGCAGCTCTCATCACAACAACAAAAGACTTGGGAGAAAATAATAATATGTTAAAAGTCCAGTTTTGAAAAGGTAAATATATTAGCCACTGAATAATAGAATTGGAAGTAAGAGGAATACAAAACAAAATACAAAATGAAAGCATTTGTTCCATCCAGGAATATTAGTACCATGGGCTGAGGCCTGGTTGGCGCAGATCAAGATCACACAGCTGATTAGCAGCAGGATATTTGCCAGGCGTCATTCATGACACGTCTCTCCTAAACAGTGTTCTTTAATCACACCGTAATTAGAGAAAATGAATGAGATTGATTCCTAGAAGTGTTATTCATTGTAAATATATATATATGTGTGTAAAAAATATATATCCATCTGATAGTTTATTTAAAAACAAAATTTAATAATTGTGACCTACTTCAGATTTCAACCAAGGTCAGCATGCATCAGATAACTATAAACATTCCTTCAGTTGCAATGGAATAGCCATTGAGAGCATTGACTAAGAACATATGAGTCAATTTACGTGAAGTGTAAGGAATTACATTTTAGTAGATCACTTCCTTGGCATGTTGAATTACTTAAAACATGGTTTGTTGTTTGCTATTTATATAAATGAAGGTTTAGAGGAATGCACTCAGCTTTGCTTGGAAGAAAGAAGCCGGGGATATGTCTTCCGGCTGCCAGAATATTCTACCCCACTTCTCCCCACCAAAAACACCTGTAAAATTATGAGAATCACATTGAATTCAAGTGGTTCTTGTTAGTTATATAACATATTTTAAATATGTACTTGCATTTAAAGTATTTTTTTTTAAGTTCGACTTTTTGAGTTTGCAAGTTGAAAGTTAAGAGATGGAATAAGCCAGACATAGTGGCTTGTGCCTGTAATCACAGCACTCTGGGAGGCTGAGGCAAGAGGATTGCTTGAGGTCAGGAGTTTGAGACCAGCCAGGGCAACATAGAGAGACCCTATCTCTACAAAATAAAAATAACAAAAATTAGCTGGGCGTAGTGGTGCACACCTATAGACTCAGCTACTTGTGAGGCTGAGGTGGGAGGATTGCTTGAGCCCAGGAGGTCGAGGCTACAGTGAGCTGTGACCACACCACTGCACTGCAGCATGGGCCACAGAGAGCAAAATTCGGTCTCAAAAAGAAAGAGAAAGAAAGGGAAGGGAAGGGAGGGAAGGGGGAGGAGAGGGGAGGGGAAGGGAAAAAAGAAAGAAAAGAAAGCCGGATGAGGTGGCTCAGGCCTATAACCCAGCACTTTGGGAGGCCAAGGTGGGCGGCTCACCTGAGGTCGGGAGTTCAAGACCAGCCTGACCAACATGGAGAAACTCCATCTCTACTAAAAATACAAAATTAGCTGGGCGTGGTGGCGCATGCCTGTAATCCCAGCTACTCGGGAGGCCAACGCAGGAGAATTGCTTGAACCTGGGAGGCAGAGGTTGCGGTGAGCCGAGATCACGCCATTACACTCCTGCCTGGGCAACAAGAGCAAAACTCCATCTCAAAAAAAAAAAAAAAAAAAATCTATAGATCTATACGTATGCATATATGAATGGAATTTTATATTTGCCGCTCTGGCCACTAATGTGTCATATGGTATAATAATGATGCTTTAATAGTCTTGGCCAAATGTTTTTAAGGTTGGTGAAAAGCTGGTCCAAGCTCCCAGATTTGCCATAGCATGCTAGGCTCACACGCCTTCTCTGCTTCTCACCAGCCTGCAATGTGCTTCTCTAGCTGGTTCATGAAGAGTAGAACAATTACGGGGAACCTGGCTCCTGGTAAAGCATGCTGAAATCTAAAAGTAACTGTAACAAACTCTATTATTTGCATTTTTGTTCTAAATCTGATAGTAGTTCTTAGCCGCTTCTATCTTGCGCTGGGCTGTGCTATCAGGTGTGGTGATTTAAGATTATTTAATACTTCTATTGTTCTGTGCGTTTTGGTCTACAATGAAGAATGGCTTCTTACCGGGAAAGCTCCAGTTGAGCATTGTTTACTTTGTTTTCTTGCTATTAGTTTGGATAAGAACATAAGAAGCAGTTTGGCTTCTTACCTGTGTTAATCTGGGCATTTGCTCAGTTTTGGACGATGAAGCTCTTTCCTCGGTTATGCTGAGGACTGCACTGATGTAACCACTCTCTGGGCCTGGTAGGTCTGTGGAGCCTTAATTAGGTACATACTGGGAGCAAGGCTTCTACAAAGTACCAGATGGGAAAATATCACCGGATATGCGCGCCCCCACTTTCCCCTCTTCCTTTTAGCAAAGCTCTCAGTTTTCCCCAGAAATGGTCCATGTCCAGACACAAGACTGGAGTTTCTGCCAAAAATCCCTGAATGGCTTGGCAGGATATTTTCAATGGGCTGGTTTTGTCTGCTTTGAAAACGTAGGATGAGCACTCAGGGTTCCGGACCAATGCCTGGGCCATTGTGACTCTCGGAATGCCAGGCAGTAAGAGATCCCAAAGCATCTCTGAGATGGAGGAAAGCTTGCCAGGAGAACAATTGCACATCCCTCCACTCCTCATGTTCTCAGTTTGTTCTTCTCTGTGATGTAACCGGTATCATGAGAACAGCCAGCAGCAGCTCCAGCATGATGAAATTTTCACTCCTTGACAAGTGTAAGAAGCCAAAAAACTATGCCCAGCCAGAAGTTTTGTGTCACACGTTTGACACACTGTCCAACCTCCACAAGCTGCTTCCTAATCACCTAATGGAGACGCTTTATTCATACAGGAGTGAAGAGGACAAGAAAAAATGTATGTGGGTGGAGGGTGGGCATGAGTTCTTTTCAGTAAGCATACACTTTATCTTGATACAAACTGCCTCTACTTTAAGCCGTAAGTAAGAACTTTTACTCTTTATTTTACTTAGTTTCTTTTTATTATTTTTTGAGGTGGGGCTCTCGCTTTATCCCCCAGGCTGGAGTGCAGGAGTGCAATAATCATGGCTCACCACAGCTTCAAACTCCTGGGCTCATGTGATCCTCCACCTCGACCTCCCCAGTAGCTGGGACTACAGGTGCATTGCCACCACAATGTCTAATTTTTAAATTTTTGTAGAGATGCCCCCAGCACCCCACACCGCCATGTTGCCTGGGCTGGTCTCAAACTCCCAAGCTCAAGTGATCCGCCCGCCTTTGCCTTCAAAGTGCTGGAATTCCAGGTGGGATCCCCTGCACCCGGTCAGAACTCATTCTTTACATTGTCGGGGTGATTGGTCCTCTAGACATATGTCCCTATCCATGGGCTTCCAGGCTTATTCCGGACTGTACTCATGTGCTGATTATCCATTGCTTCTTCATGTTCCTTTTGCATAAATAGTCTTTTGTGAGCCAAGTTAGGCCTGACCCTCTTCTTTTTTTTTTTTTTTTTTCGAGACAGAGTCTGTCTCTGTCACACAGGCTGGAGTGCAGTGGCGCAATCTCAGCTTACTGCAAGCTCCGCTTCCTGGGTTCATGCCATTCTCCTGCCTCAGGCACCTGAGTAGCTGGGACTACAGGTGCCCGCCACCACATCCGGCTAGTTTTTTTTTTTTGTATATTTAGTAGAGACGGGTTTTCACTGAGTTAGCCAGGATGGTCTCGATCTCCTGACCTCGTGATCTGCCTGCCTCAGCCTCCCAAAGTGCTGGGATTACAGGCGTGAGCCACCGCGCACGGCCAGGCCTGACCCTCTTCTTTAGGCAAAGCTTACCTGTGGGAAAATGGAAAGGGTACTGAGAGGGAAATGCTGCTCAATTTACAATTTAAGCTTTATATTTGATTTTAAGATTAGGGAGAGAACTTCCACGTGGAAAGAGGGCAGGCTTTGAACTTTGTTCCTTTGCTCTGTTTCCTGCTAGTCCTTCCTCCTATGGCCATGATTGCACCGCGAAGAAGCTGGATATTTTCTTTTCTCCTGGGGATTATAAGCAACCTGTACTTTGTGCAGTTTGGAGTGGCCTGCCACTCCTGAAATTCTGTCGGGGTCATTGATAATGGGGCCAATTTGCAGCATTGGGTGGAGTCTGCTTCCTAAATTGTTCCTGCTTAAGTGGAAGACAAAGGTAGAGGCAGCCACCTGTGCTCATGAACTTAGAAAACAAAATAGCAGCTGCCACAGAGATTAAGATGCAATTCTGAAGCCAGGAGCCGTAGCTCACGCCTGTAATCCCAGCACTTTGGGAGGCCAAGATGGGCAGATCACCTGAGATCAGGAGTTCAAGACCAGCCTGGCCACCATGGTGAAACCCCCCCATCTCAATTAAAATACAAAAAGCAGTCGGACGTGGTGGTAGGTGCCTGTAATCCCAACTACTCGGGAGGCTGAGGCAGGGGAATCGCTTGAACCTAGGAAGTGGAGGTTGCAGTGAGCCGAGATCGTGCCATTGCACTCCAGCCTGGGCGACAAGAGGGAGACTCCGTCTCAAAAAAACAAAAATAACAACAAATACTATAGACTGGGTAGCTTATAAACAGAAAAATTTATTTCTCATAGTTCTGGTGGCTGGGAAGTCTCAAATCAAGGCAGATACCACGTTTGGAGACAACTTTCTGGTTCATAGATGGCACCTTCTTGCTGCGTCTTCATGTAGCGGAAGGGGTTAGGGGTGGGTATCTCTCTCAGGCCTAGTTTATAAGGCACCGCCCCCATGACCTGATCACCTCTTAAAGGCCTACCCACCATGTAATACCGTCACCTTGGAGGTTAGGATTTAACATATGAATTTTGAGGGGCATGACCATCAGACCATAGCACCGCCTTCCCCAGCTTTTGTAAGATTCACTTCCATCCTATTTCAACGGAAATTGCATCATCTTTTGACGGAAACCCTCCTGAGATCCTCCTATTCAAGCAGGCGCCAAACGACTATAGCTGACCCTTGAACAGCTCATCTGAACTGTGCAGGTCCACTTATGGTGTGGCAGGAGATTAAAGAAAAATAAACGAAAAAAAGAAATAAACTTTCCTGGATTAGGCTGACTTTTCCCAAAGGCAGCAACAGGCACAGCCCAGACCCAGAAAAAGTTTTAGTAATACTATCTAATGTGCTCTGGAAACTCCCAGTACTCCCTCAACGCAGGGAGAAGAAAAACAAATTTTCCTTTGTTTTATGGAATAAGTTTATAGATTTCTGTTCTCTGTAAATAGTAACTTAAAGTAATTCTGTTTTGTCTAAGCAGTAGAGTGAAGGTCATGAGCCTCTAAATAGGCCTGAGTTGTGGCCACCTGGGCGCCATAATGAAGGTTATAGGGTAAGCCCATGCCTAGGCAAAATCTAGATAACAGACATTGGGTTGCTTGGTAATGATCATGTGTAATCCTGAGTTATGAACCTGTTACAACTTAATTAACTGTCTTCATCCTGCCTCTCTATCCCTACTTTCACGCCACTGTAAGCTTGCTTCAAGCTAGCCCACCCCCTTTTATGAAGTATAAAAGTCAGGTACTGTCTTTGTTCTGCGCCCAGTCTTTGGACGTTAAATCTGCTGGGTCTAAGTGCACTCGATAATAAAGATATCCTTCTGTATACACCCCAAGGTCTCTCTCTGGTCCACAATAGGTGGATTTTTTTCAATAAATATGTTGGAAATTTTTTTGAAGATTTGCCACAATTTGAAAAAATTTGTAGACCAATCATATAGTCCAGAAATAACAAAAAATTAAGAAAAAATTAGGGTGGTGGGCATGGTGGCTCATGCCTGTAATTCCAGCACTTTGGGAGGCTGAGGCGGGTGGATCATTTGAGGTAAGGAGTTCGAGACCAGTCTGACTAACATGGTGAAACCCTCTCTTTACTAAAAACACAAAATTAGGCGGGTGTGGTGGTACACGCCTGTAATCCTAGCTACTTGGGACGCTGAGGTAGGAGAATTGCTTGAACTTGGGAGGTGGAGTTTGCAGGGAGCTGAGATTGTGTCACTGCATTCCAGCCTGGGCAACAGAGTGAGACTCAAAAAAAAAAAAAAAAAAAAAGAGAAAAAGGAATGTCGTGACTGCATAGAATATATGTAGATACTAGTCTGCTTTATCATTTACTACCATAAAATGTACACAAACCTATTAGGAAAAGTTAAAATTTATAAAAACTTACACAAGCACTTACAGACTGTATTTGGTGTCATTCACAGTCAAGGGAAATGTAAATGAGAATAAAGATGCAGTATTAGGCCAGGCGCAGTGGCTCATGCCTGTAATCCCAGCACTTTGGGAGTCCGAGGGGATAGATCACCTGAGGGCAGGAGTTCAAGACCAGCCTGGCCAACATGTTGAAACCCAGTCTCTACTAAAAATACAAAAAGTAGCCAGGTGTGGTGGTTGGCACCCATAATCCCAGCTACTCAGGAGGCTGAGGCCGGAGACTCTCTCGAACACGGGAGGCAGATACTGCAGTGAGCTGAGATCATGCCATTGCACTCTAGCTTGGGCAACAAGAGCAAAACTCCACCTCAAAAAAAAAAAAAAAAAAAGATGCAGTATTAAATCCTAACTGTAGAAAAGTAACTGTAGCAATACCATAGTGCTGTAGTAATTTCATAGCCACCTCCCGTTGCTCTTGCTGTGAGCTCAAGTGGTGTGAATAGCCACTTAAAATGCCATGTGATGCCAGTCATCTCTGTGTGAGCAGCTCATCTCTCTAGTAAATTACATATCACAGTAAAGTGATTTCACAGTTCTCATGCATTTTTTTGTGTTTAGTGCAATACCATAAAACTTGAATAACACCATGGGACCCACACAAAGTGCCATTAGTGATGCTGGAAGCACTCCCAAGAAGCAGCGAAAAGTCAGGATGTTGTAAGAAAAAGTTGAGTTGCTTGATATGTACTGTATATTGAATAGTTGCCTGCCACTTCAGACAGACAATTTTTCTTGTAAACAGATGGTGTAAGCTTATAATATTGATAAATACAGTGGTGTCAATGTATTTCTTTTCCTTATTATTTTCTTTTCTTTTTTTTTTTTTTTTTTTTGAGACAGAGTCTTGCTCTGTCTCCCAGGCTGGAGTGCAGTGGTGCTATCTTGGCTCACTGCAACCTCCACCTCCCGATTTCAAGTGATTCTCTGTCTCAGCCTCCCAAGTAGCTGGGATTACAGGCACCCGCTACCATGGCCGGCTAATTTTTGTATTTTTAGTAGAGATGGGGTTTCCCATGTTGGTCAGGCTAATCTTGAACTCCTGACCTCAAGCAATCCACCCACCTCGGCCTCCCAAAGTGCTGGGATTACAGGCATGAGCCATTGCGCCTGGCCATGATTTTCTTAATAACATTTTTTTGCTTATGTTAAGAATGTGATGTATAATGCATATAACATTTACAATATGTGTTAATCAACTGTTTATGTTAACAGTAAGGCTTCCGGTCAACAGTAGGCTATTAGTAAAAGTTTTGAGTGAATCAAAAGTCAAAAAAGTAGCTGGATGTGGTGGCGTGGTACAGGTGCTAGACTACCACGCTCAACTACTCGGAAGGCTGTGGCAGGAGGATCGCTTGAACCCAGGAGTTTGAGACCAGCCCGGGCAACATAGCAAGACTTTTTTTTTTTTTTTTTTGGGGACGGAGTTTTGCTCTTGTTGCCCAGGCTAGAGTGCAATGGCGTGATCTTGGCTCACCGCAACCTCCACCTCCCACGTTCAAGCAATTCTCTGTCTCAGCCTCCCGAGTAGCTGGGATTACAGGCATGCGCCACCACTCTCGGCTAATTTTTGTATTTTTAGTAAAGACGGGGTTTCACCATGTTGGCCAAATGGTCTCGATCTCTTGACCTTGTGATCCACCCGCCTCGGCCTCCCAAAGTGCTGGGATTACAGGCATGAGCCACCGAGTCCAGCCAAGACTCTTTAACAAAAGAAACTTATATGCTTATTTTCAACTGGGCAGGGGTCAGAGCCCCTAACCTCCATGTTATTCAAGGGTCAACTGTATTTTCTAAGGGGTTTACATTTTTATTTATTTAGTTAGTTATTTAATTAGTTAGTTTCTTTAGTTTTGAAACAGAGTCTCACTCTGTTGCCCAGGCTGGAGTGCAGTGGTATGATCTCGGCTGACTGCAACCTCCGCCTCCCGGGTTCAAACGATTCTCCTGCCTCAGCCTCCCGAGTAGCTGGGATTACAGGCATGTGCCACCACACCTGGCTAATTTTTGAATTTTAGTAGAGACAGGGTTTTGCCATGTTGGCCAGGTTGGTCTCAAACTCCTGACCTCAAGTGATCCACCCACCTCGGCTTCCCAAAGTGCTGGGATTCCAGGTGTGAGCCACCAAGCCCAGCTGGGGTTTACCTTTAGCTCATGGAAAATCTGTGCCCTTGCTCCCCATACCTTCACCCGGTTAATGAAAGCACAGTTGGCGTCCAACACTGCCCTCTTTTCTCTGTGGCCACAGGCAGCTGTGATCCCAGCCACTCACCATTATGTTTCCAGGTGTTACGGGCTCAACAAAATACATAGATGTCCCTCAACAACATATATTGTCTCTCAACAAGACACATTGAAGTCCTAACTCCCAGGGGCCCAGAATGTGACTAGATTTGGAAATAGGGTCTTTACAGGGTGCAGAAGTAATTAGACTTAGATGAGGTCATCATATGTATAGAGAGGGTTCTTCATCCAGTATGACTGGTGTCCTTAGAAGAAGAAAGAGACATCTGTTGTGACAGTGGAGACAGAGATGGGAGCGACACATCCACAGTCCAGGGATACCAAGGATTGCAGGCAGAAACTAGAGACAAAGACAGATTCTCCCCTCGAGGCTTCAGCATGGCCTTGCTGCCACCTTGATTTCTGACTTCCGGCCTCCTGAATTGTGAAACAATGAATTTGTTGTTTTAAGCGACCCCCTTTGTGGTACTGTTAGGACAGCCCTAGGAGACTGACGCACCAGTGTGAGGAGACATAGTCCCATTCCCCAGATACTTCTCTAAAGTCCCCTTAAAGCCAAGAGCGGGAAGGGGAATGACATAGTACACAGCACTGCCCCAGCTCTGTGCCTAAAGAAATCCTCAAGTGCCTCAAGGAATCCTGAATGAATGCTCCGTTTTTTCACATATGCATGGATGTCTTGTGCATGAATAGGTGTCTGGCACCTACTCGAGTTTTCTCAGACTTTGGGGCCTTGGAGAAAACAGACCCAACAGAAAAAGGTATATTTTCACATCCTGTTACATGTACATGTCCTTCAACTTAGCAATTCCACTTCTAGTTATTATCCTACAGAAATAACTTGTACCTGAGCACAAAAATAGATAAACATGGCCATGCACTGAAACATTGTCTATAATAGTCAAAAATTTAGACAACCTATGACATCCAGTAGCTGAATAATTAAATGAAGGCATATATCCATACAGTAGAATACTGTTAAAAAGAAGGTTGACATTAACATATCTCCAGTACATATTCTAGAGTTGTAAGAAGCTGCAAAGGAAGATACACAGTATGGATCCATGTATGCCAAAAGAAAACTCTACATGTGTACATATATATATATGTGTCTATAAATGCATAGAAAAGAGTTTTGAAGGAGACTTAGGAAATTCAGGACAGCGGCTACCTCCAGAGAAAGGATAGAGCTTGGAGAAGGAAAACGAAGCAAAACTTCCCCTTTTTACTGGGTAGACTTTGCTGAGTTGTTTCATTTTAATTATTCCAATGGAAACCTTTTACTTTTGTAATTAAAATGCAACATTAACATTGAAAAATGCAGTAATTATTTATGTGAAGTTGGAGAAATGGGTTTTGATTTTCTAGAGACATTCCCATTCTATGTAGATTTAGATTTTGTCTCTGTAGCCTCCCAATGTAGACGGCGATAGACGTCCATACACGTTTAGCAGCTGGTAATTCCTGCCATGTGCAACTGCCAAGCAGCAGCGGGGTGCCTTTGTTTCAGAGGTATTTGGGTGCAGTGATTCTTTGCTATGGTTGGAAGCCAGTTTAAGGAGGTTCATGCGGCTGAGGTGAACGGCATTAAGAGGTAAGAAATGACCCCTCAGAGTCCTGAGTTTGTGCCTTCAGGGACCTGGCCGCAGGCTGAGTCCAGTCAGTCATTGGGAACACATTGGCCTTTGAGGTCTTGAATTCATCACTAAAAGTTTGCTCCATTGCCAAGATGCCATTTCCAAACATATAGTGTGATTTCCTTGCATATGCATCCTGCAGACATGGCCCTCTTTCTCTGACTTTCATCCACCAGACCAAGAATTTAAACATGGAGACTGCCGTCTTGCTGCTGCTGGGTCGAAGGCCTTCCTTCCAGAAGAAATTTCTTTTGACCTTAAAAATAGGTTTTGTTCCTTTTCCTGTCAATCTCCTCTTCACCTGAAGGATGCTTTGCCTATATTACTCTATATTGGTTACCCAGAAATGATTACGTGAAGGAAGAAAGAAAAAGAACTAAACACCCGTAATTTAAAAAAACAACAACAACAACAAAAAAAAACCCAGGTTTTTCTTTTGTATTTTAAATATAAAGTTAACTTTGGGAGGCTGAGGCAGGAGGATCACTTGAAGCTGGGAATGAGATGAACCTAGGCAACAAAATGAGACCCCCATCTCTGCAAATAATAACAAAAATTAGCTGGGTGTGGTGGTGCATGCCTGTAGTCCCAGCTGCTGAGGAGGCTGAGGTCGGAGGATCGCTTGAGCGCAGGAGGTCGAGGCTGGAATGAGGTATGATTGCACCACTGCACTCCATCCTGGAGCTCTCACGGAGGTGCTGGCTGACCAGGGAGGGATGCTATTCCATTTCTGATAACACAGGATCTAAGCCCCTCTGGTATTGACTTCATCTCCAAGCGGCTCTACCATGCGCTGTAACTGTACCACTGGCCATCCAGAGTTCCTACAGCAGGCTGCAACAATCCAAACCTCAAGTCTCAGTTATTGGAACACCCAAAAGAAGGCAGGCATTTCCCACTGACGTAGCTGAAAATAGACACACTTATAACAGAGCGAGAAAAAACAGTTCATTTCTGGCCAGAAATGAATTTTGTGGAATCAAAAAGAACAGTAAGTTACACTCCCACATTCTAAGTGACAGAGCATGCTGTTGTTTTCAGTTCCATCCATGTTGTAACCCTTGCTCAGGCAAAATCACCAATAAAAGGGGGCCCCAAGTTACGTGGCCTGACAATAATGTTAACATTCACCCTATTTCTTCCGAGAAGCTTCAAAATGTGCATCTCCAATTAAGTATGCAATTAAAGGGAAAATAAGAATTACAATAATAATAATAATTGTATGTAACTTGCCCTTAGTTTGAGAATGCACACATAACCAACTCTATTTGTGTGGTCCCAGCCTGCCTGCTTGTTTGCTTGTTTGTTCATTCTTTTTTATTTTTTTATTTTTTTTGAGACAGAGTCTCGCTCTGTCGCCCAGGCTGGAGTGCAGTGGCCGGATCTCAGCTCACTGCAAGCTCCGCCTCCCGGGTTCACACCATTCTCCTGCCTCAGCCTCCCGAATAGCTGGGACTACAGGCGCCCGCCACCACGCCCGGCTAATTTTTTATATTTTTAGTAGAGACGGGGTTTCACCGTGTTAACTAGGATGGTCTCGATCTCCTGACCTCATGATCCGCCCGCCTCAGCCTCCCAAATGCTAGGATTACAGGCGTGAGCCACCATGCCTGGCCTTGTTCATTCTTTTATTTACTTACAATGTATCTGCTAGATGTCTAGGACCAGGCTAAGATCTAAATGGTGCCCAGTAATATTGTTGGAATAAAGGAATGACAAAGCTAAATAGGGATTATCAAGCTGCATATATATGTTTTCAAATCTGCCTTGTTAACTCCTGCTATGCAAAGATGGAGAGGAACATTGAATGTATTAATGCTTATTCTATTACCAGGTGAGAATCCTGAGCTCTCTGGCTTGGAAAGAATCTTAGCAAGACATGAATTGCCAAAAGAGATTAATCTGACCCCAAAGCCGAACAGAATGCCCCTGTGGAAAAGAAAAATCACCAACAATGTAACTGACGGGTGGAAGAAATGTCACTTGTTGACGAGAAACACGAAAGAGCCTCCAATGTCCACCATAGTTGTCAGGTAGACTCTGATTTCTGCTTTACGTGGATATATTTAGGGACACACAGGGTGATCACAAAATCTCTACATGCCTTAGCTAAAAAATGATAAGCACTGCTCTATATAAAAGCACATAGGCCCCATTTTTACCCACCCCCAAGCTGCTAGAGGAGCCCTTACTGGGAGTAAACTCATGGAGATGGGAGCAGGAGTGTGGGTCCTCCATGGCCCATTGCAGTCTAGAATAGTGAGCAGAAATCTAGCAAGAACAGAGTGCGAAACTTGGAGAGAAACCCAACCAGTGAGCTGTGGGGCTTTTTGGCTGCATAAGTTGTGAAGCAACTTGGTTTTTCATGCCCACCGTTGGCATGACCAGGGGCTAGGATACCATAGCAGGATGTAGTGGAGCTTTGGCTTTATCCCTGGCCTACCAGATTTTACGTGGAGAGAACTGGAGCACCACTGGACAGTCTTAACAAGAGGACTGGCATGATCTGACTCAAATCATCTCTGGCCTCCCAGGATTGCATAGGTGGAGGAGAGTGGTTGGGAGATTTTACAGATCTACAGGCAAGGGATGGTGGCCCAGGTGGTAATAGTGGGGATGTGGAGTTGGTTGGATTCTGGTGCTCAAAGTCATAAGCTTCGGTTCCTTGACAAATTATCTTTTTTGGTGCACTTCTTTGCCTGCTTATGCCAGATAGATGGTGTTTCTATATTTGTTTCTTTCTTTTCTTTTTTTTTTGAGACTGAGTCTCACACTGTCACCCAAGCTGGAGTGCAGTGGTGCTATCTCAGCTCACCGTAATCTCTGCCTCCCGGGTTCCAGTGATTCTCCTGCCTTAGCCTCCCGAGTAGCTGGGATTACAGGCGGGTGCCACCACACCGGGCTAATTTTTTTTGGTATTTTTGGTAGAAATGGGGTTTCGCCATGTTGACCAGGCTAGTCTCAAACTCCTGACCTTAGCTGATATGCCCACTTGGCCTCTGAAAAGTGCTGGGATTACAGGCGTGAGCCACCATGCCTGGTCTACATTTGTTTCTTTCATATTGCTGCACGTATTGCTGTACAATGCAATGATGCCTACACTTTTTACATAGTAGGTATTCAAGCAATTTTGCCAGGTTGACAGGGTAAATGTATATGTTGCTACAAAGACAGGATCAGTTCTGATTTGAAGGTAACATAACCGGGAGACAGTCCCAGCTCATGAATTTGCCTGAACTGGAAGCTTCCCCTGGGATCATTGCCCTGGTGAAATAGAGTCCTTGTCTACATTTTTTTCAGTGTCCTCAGTGGCATAATTTGCCAATTTGATTTAAATATTCGTAGCCGAAGAAGGCAAAGATGTATTATAAATGAAGGTGGTCAGTGGAACCATGGTATTTTCTGGACAATGCAAAGACACTACATTTTTGTCCAGAAGTAGGTAAAGGTTATATTAAGTGATGATATCTGATTACTCAAGTGAAGATTATTTGACCTTGCTTTGGAGGCCTGATGTGATTTGGCTCTGTCCCCACCCAAATCCCATTTTGAACTGTAATCCCCACATGTTGGAGGAGGGGCTTGGTGGGAGGCAGCTGGGTCATGGGGACAGATTTCCTGCGTGCTGTTCTCGTGATAGTGAGTGAGTTCTCAGGAGATCTGTTGGTTTTAAAGTGTGGCACCTCCCCGCTCGCTCGCTCACTCTCTCCTGCTCCATCACGGTAAGATGTGCCTGGCTTCACCTTTGCTTTCTGCCCTGATTGTAAGTTTCCTGAGGCTTCCCAGTCATGCTTCCTGTTAAACCTGTAGATCTATGATTCAATGAAACTTCTTTTCTTCATAAATTACCCAGTCTCAGGTAGTTCTTTATAGCAATGTGAAGACAGAATAACACAAGGCCTATTTTTAAAAATCCAAGTTTCACAACCATAGAAAGTTTATACTCCTCAGTTTTAGGTCCTGATGTCTTCGTTTGAAGTTATAGATCTTTACATCCTAGTTTGGTTTCTGAAAATATAGCTAGAGTATCAGAACACAGGAAATGATACTCTTTTTTTTTTTTTTAAACATTTTATTCTACAAACATCTATTTGCTTTCCTTAAAAGCAGGGACTGTCAGCCTATCTTATTTATTTTTGTATTCCTAGTGTTACAGGTTGGAGTCTCAAGTGCTGAGACAGAAATAAGAATGCAAAAGGTTTCCTGGGAGTGGTGTTTCATCAAAGTGGAAGTGGGAAAACAGTATTGGGCAGGGATTCAAGAGGGGAGAAACAGGCTTCGCCTCAGTGGAAGGAGCTGCAAAGTCGTGTTGCAGGGGGCTTGGGTGCAGGAAAGGTTGGAGGATTAGGCCCATTTTGCAATCAATCAATCATGAACCTTGTCGTGGTTGCTATGACTCCAGATTCCTGAAGGATGCCTCCTGGCATTAATGATTCTTCCCCTGTTACCTGGTAACGTGGTAAATATCATCATTTGATAACTTTATCATTCTTAATTCTTTGTGACTTAACTGACACCCTTGAGAGAATTCATTCTTTAGCCAAAGCAAGCCTGACTATTATTAAGAATCATCAATAATAGCTTTGTCCTTAAAACTAGAACTACCGTATGACCCAGCAATCCCACTACTAGGTATGAACCCAAAGGAAAGTAAATCCAGTATGTCAAAGAGCTGTCTGCCCTCCCATGTGCATTGCAGCACTATTCACAATAGCCAAGACATGAAATCAGCCTAGCTTTCCATCAACAGATGAATGAATTAAAAATGTGGTGTTTATACACAAAAGAATACTTTTTAGCCTAAAAAGGAATGAAATCCTGTCATACGAGGCAACATGGATGAGTCTAGAGGACATTATATTAAGTGAAATAAACAAGGCACGGAAGGACAAACTTCACACTGTTCTCACTCATTTGTGAACGCTAAAAATTAAAACAATTGTATTCATGGCGGTAGAGAGTAGAAGAATGGCTTCTAGAGGCTGGGAAGGGTAGTGGGGGCAGTGAGAAGAAGTGGGGAAGAATACTGCCTGCTCTCATTCATACGTGGAAGCTAAAATCGCTGATCTCACAGAAGTAGAGAGTTGAATAGTGGTTGCCAGAGGTTGAGAAGGGTAACGGCGAGGGGTGGATAGCCAGAGGTTGGTTACCAGATACAAAAGTACAGCTAGACAGGAGGAATAAGTTCTGGTGTTCTATAACACTGTAGGGTGGTTATAGCCAACAATCATTTTTTTTTGTTTATTTTCAAATAGCTAGAAGAGGATATCTTGACTGTTCCCAACACAAAGAAATGAAAATTGTTTGAGGTGATGATATGCTCATTACCTTGACTTGATCATTACACATTGTAAACATGCATCAAAACATCACACTGTAGCCCATACATATGTGCAATTATTATGTCAATTTAATAGAAGAATAGCTTTGTTTTTATCTAAGAACTACTGAACACTACTGATTCATGTCCTTGACCACCTGTAAAATGGTGCTACTAATACCTCGTGTTGTATCAGAGTTGTGACACTGATAGAGCAATGACTGTGAAATTGAGTTTTGACAAGTATGAAGTACTATTTGAATGCATTGTACAGTATTTTCACATGTTAGATTGAGCCAACTGTAGGTCCTAACCTTGAACCTGCCCTGGCCAACATTTGCTCAGTTTATGCTGTTAATCCCCACTAGCACAGAGAGGATAAGGCCTCTCTCTCACATGGCAATAGCAGTTTTAGGGCCACAAAACAGGCAGACCATACATGAGGCCTGTTGATTTTGACAAAGTTCCTTCAGTGCTATGCTATGTAAACAAATCAGCAGGCACAAAAGCCAGGAGTCCCGGGACCATGCTGGTAAACAGATTTTCTAAGTCTAGAGCTGCAGATGGTGGTGTCTTATCCCTGTTGGTGAAGCTGGCAGGATTCCAACCCCTAGCTCTATAATACTGTAAATCCCTACTGGGTACTGCATGTAAATTATAATTACTTGTAAACTGTATTTACTGGCTCAATATGCCATATTTATATGAACTCTAGGGCTTCATTTTTTTTTCTCTTGGTAAGTGTGACAAAAGCAGTACTTGAACAGAAGAGGGCTGTTTGTGCCATATGAAAACTTTAGTTTAGATTCCGTAATGTTTTGTTGCATCAGTGTGGTAGCAACTGAAGACGGGAGCTAGTAGTCAATGGGTTTTACTTTGCCCACCTCTCTGCCATAGACATTTGCAATTTATCCTGACTTGGGGCCACTCCTCCTGTATATGGTACTTACCATGTTATAGTGTCTGCGTTGATTTGCTACTCCACTTGTGGGCTGTGTAAGCATTTAAGAAAAACGTTTAATGTTTCCTTTTTTTTTTTTTGAGATGGAGTCTCGCTCTTGTCACCCAGGCTGGAGTGCAATGGCACAATCTTGGCTCACTGCAAACTCTGGCTCCCAGGTTCAAGCGATTCTCCTCCTTGGCCTCCCGAGTAGCTGGGGTTTCAGGCGTGCACCACCACACCCAGCTAATTTTTGTATTTTTAGTTAGAGATGGGGTTTTGCCATGTTGGTCAGGCTGGTCTCGAACTCCTGACCTCAGGAGATCCTCCAGCCTCAGCCTCACAAAGTGTTGGGATTACTGGCATGAGCCACTATGCCTGGCCATTTTTCTTTTCTTTTTTTTTTTTTTT